ACAGCCTAGAGAAGATTTGTACTTAATTGTTTAGTCATCTGGCATTTCCTCCAAACAGAAGCCTCTGAGTCACAGGCAGAAAATATAAATGTTGGTCTGATCAGAAAAGACACCAGAATGTTCTCTCTTCCTGGAAAGTTCTGCAACAGAAGGAGGAGAATTTGCACGCTGATCCTTTCCAATGCAAAATTACGGGACGCTAGAAATGGGAACAGCAGCCTCACAAAAAAAAAACAAAAACAAACTTTCAGTAGAAGTTTTGATATTTCTGCAGAGGTATACAGAAGAGAATATTTGAGATGCAGCTTAGATCCAAAAATGTAACTCATATTCCTTATTATACGATTGCCAGTGTTTATTTCTGTAAATTTAATAATGGAAATTAAACAGATTTGTAATACAAAGTAGATATATACATGATTTATAGCTGCTTATCCGTACAAGTTCCAAAAGGCTGGTGCATAACAAAAGTGGCCATTTGGATTTAAGCAAGCAAGGATTCACACTGGACATGTTTTCTCAGGCTAACACAGACACACAGCACAAACAACCAGGGATACATATACTCATTTGTAAGGACAATGCTGATCGACTAGTTAACAGCCATGTGTTTGAACTGTAGAAGGATGATCCAGATCACAAACATTCAAAGGGAAACATGGAAACTCTGCAGAAAGACCCAAGGCCAGGATCCCAACCCAGGATCTTCTTGCACAGAGGTAACAGTGTTGACACCCATTTCATCATGCAGCCCCACTGCAGATATACAAGCATATATGAGTTCCACTTTTGGACTTTAATTCATCTTTTAATGATATTCAAAATCACAGAGATGAAGCTGCTTTTATGTTTTGGTCAAATATGCCAAAAAGATAAAGGTAGATTTCATTCAATTTATTGCATAAAATACATAGCAGAGGTGGATAAGAGGTTTTAAGAAATGCATGGAGAAATTTTCCACTAGAAAGAATAGATACCCAAGTGTGAAATTAGTCATTAAATAAAACGTATTCTTCCCAAACTCTACACTAAAATCTCATTTATAAAACTCAAACAAAATCACATCCCACTGAGAGTCATTCTGGAGTCGTTTTCAAAAGAGAGAGAGAAAAAACAACAGATCTGGAGCTTCTTCAGATGCAGAAATGAGTTATAGAGGGAGGGCTGAGCGTTGAATAAGGGTGACACACGAGACACACAAACACACACCCAGAGGGAGAGGATAGAAGAGCAGACTGGGCCCACTAAGGGTGACAGAAGAGGTATTCCTGTGTTGAGTGATGTAAGATTTTTTTTTTTCCTGAAGCAGTGCAGCCATGTGTGTCAGGGAGATAAGTTTTGTGTAAACATACTGAGATTCTGATGTTTGCGGTTGGATGCGGTCCTATTGGATAAAAGAAATGTGAGGAAAAGCACCAAAATGAAGGATGCTTGAAATGAGGAATAGTACTCCTAGATTTATGGACCAAGGCAGATAAACTCTGTGTGATTCAGCTGTAATTAAGTTTCTGTCACTATCAATCACAGCTCTCAATTTCCCTCTAATCAGTCCATTTCATAGCTGTGATTACTCCCCAGGCACTGACATCAGCACATTGTGCCTCTGCTTGACCACTCTTCCCGTCACCACAACTGTGGGAATATCAGCATCTGTGCGTTCTGACAGCTCCAGCAAAAACAAACATTTAGCCAAAAAGAATGACAGATATGCAGAAATTCAAATAGGACATTTTAGGTAACTGTACAACCCATGCTGCAGAGTCAAAATGTAAAATGGATGCAAAATATTTTTACTTTTTTTTATTTTTATCATCTGAGCATAAAACATTGAGTAGGATTGTACAGCTTCCAAACTGTCTTTCTAATGTGTTTTACTGGTTATAGTACTGACTCAGTTGAGCTGTGTTTTTCAGACAGATGGCTTCTCATTTTATAAAAGAAATCGCTGCAATGATGCAGAATTCACAGCTGAAATCAGAGACAGTGAGCCACCAAGTCCCTGAGGCCGAAAACAACCCCAGCTGGTACAAGAATCTTCTGCTGAAATATGTCTACAGTTCTGCACCATATTTGTTTACAGCAATAACCAGGGAACTCATCTGCTGGCAATTGTAGGTTTGCTCCTATGAAGGTCACATCTGTACCATCTTTTTACTACCATATGCACTTACATACTGGAGATAATATGGTGGCACAAACAGACAAAATTGTCTCAGGTTGAACTGAAATTAAATTATTTTTAGAATCTCATTTAAAATGAAACCTACAGAAATTTGTTTAATTTCAGCTAATGTGAACTGATAAATATTATTGATACTAGCATGAACTTGTAACTGAGAAGCAAAGCTTTCCAGAGAGTCAAGTAAATACTTGTCCAAATAGGTGAACAAAGCAAACCTTTTTTTTTTTTTTACAAGATTGTACCAATTTTGCATAAGGGGGGGGGGGGACTTTTGCAGAGTTATGGTTGTGAAAATCAGCTTGTCCAAATGTTTTATTAACGTTACATAGTAAATTAGCCCGACAAAGTTTTAGAGGAAACTGTTGGACAACTGCAGGGCCAGAGACAGGGGCCACCCCAGCACCGCCTTGTTAAACTTTGAGCATCCTGTTCATTACTTGAAATGCCAATAGCAATATACTAGATATAAAAAAAACAACACAACTTCTACTTTTGTCTTATCCTCTTACAGATCTATTTTTCCCTTTTCTTTTTCCCCAGAAGACCAAGAATTTTGAAAACGAGTGGTTTCTCCCATTAATGCCATTTTCACCATGTCTCCCTCTATGTTGAATGAATCATGAACTCTAAGCTTAACTGACATCTGGACTGTGTTGTTCTGAGTCCTTTTGTGACCGCCGGATGTTTTATTGATGTGTTCTCGATGTAGTTTTGGTAAACCGGCCACTCCTGTGTACATTTACTTTTGTCTCATTTTTTTTTTTTTGTCAATTTGTGAACAGGGCCTATTGAATTCTACAACACTTATGGAACAATAGTAAACATCAAAACCTATTAGAACAAATAACCCATGTAATATTAGCCAATGGGTTTCAAAAACTTCAAACAGAAGCAAAGGGCCTCTATTAGGATGAAAATATTGTCGATTTTAGATGCAGCCCAATATGATCCTATATTGGCTAATATTGGACCGATATCTAATATTTTCATCGGATCGGGACATCCCTATCAGATATCACAATTTGCTTGGTGATCTGACAGACTGAAGTTTGATAAAGACAGCTAAATCTGTCTGGCTATAATTCCTAAAACTTCAACATTTTGTTTTAGTTTAAAATACCAAAAAAAAAACACAAAATTCTCAAACAGCACTATAATTTATGTTACCATAAAAAAATATATATAAATAAATAAATCTTATGACCAGAATTATAAAAGAAATGTTATAACATTTAATTCCAAAAAAAGTTAAAAACCAAACCACTGTATGTGCAGAAATGACGAAACAAAAGCCTTGTGATGGCTTAGAAAATATGCAAATTGAAGAATGACAAGGCTTTTTATTTTTTGGTCTACTCTATAAGCCTGGAATGGACATTTTGAGAAAGCTTTCTTGATTGG